CGCTTTCGCAGCCTACAAGATCTCATCAACCATGCGGATGCCCTCAGCTTCAAGAGCGGTGATAAGGGGCTGGCAAAGCTCCATATCCATGGGCGCCAGAACACCTCGTCGCGTTATTTTGCCTGAACGGGGACGCAAAGGACATTTAGTGTCATGTCCGCGGCAGCTGACAGATAAAAGGTGATTGGACATACCGTCAAGGATCAGCTGAGTGGTGATGCCGCAGGGAACACCGACGGTAGTGGCCATGGCAGTGTCGCCATTAGGTTCGCCGAACCACAGACCCGTGGATGTGCGCGTTTGCTGTTGCGGAAGATATCTTTGAGTATAGGGCTTCCTTACCTACGAAAAGCGGTGTCAGTTCGTATCTTTACCTTGGTTCCGTTCTTGAGCTCAATTTCGAATTTGTGCTGCAGCATAACCATGTCGCGTTCTCCCTCCTCATACTGCATCTTCTCCTCGAGAGTAGCACACAAAGTGTCGAGGAGGTTGCCGCGCTTGTGGACGGGCTTGTCGGAGAACATGCCCAACCTGTTCTCATGGTTTAGCCCAGCAGACCCATGCGGACGGCGCCTTGGGTCCCTTACCATTTCAAGCCGTGGATGATGCGGTCACTGTCTTCTCCCTTGATTCCAGCCTTGCTCTGCACCGCTTGAACGAGCTCACTGCACACGGATACAATATCAGTACTCTGAAAGAAATCTTGACGATTCCAGAGGCACTCACGATTCGCTTTCCGCCTTGCTGGACACCGCCTTGGCAAGAACGGATTTCTGCAAGGGACCTTTTGTTAGCAACGTTGGAAAGTGCCGTGGAGCTAAGATATTGTTGACAACATACCCAGGCGATAGGCGCAGCGTCCTCCTTGAGGTAGTCTTTGTCCTCGTCGTTCAAGAAGCCCAGAGCCACAAGGACCTTGATAAACTTGGGGAAACCCTACACATAGCAAGAATCATCCATAAAAGGCTCGTTTCCCTTATAATGTTCGAATCAGGCTGAAAGTCCCTTACTTGGTAACGAAGAGTGCCTCGCAGAACTGTGAGACATTCGGGGATGTTGTACCGCTTGTTGTAAGGAGTAGAGTCCCGGTTCGGGTATCCTTCGAACGCAAAGGCGGGGTAGATGTAGATCGGCTTGGCGCTGTCCATGAGCTGCGGGCCCGGGACATCGACAGGCTTGCCACCGTCAACGTATTTGGCGTTGTTGCGGAGAGCAAGAAGCACACCACGGGAGCTCCAGCTAAATTTGTAACCGAGGGGATTGTTTGACGCCTCCGGGGCAGGGAGTCCACCGCAGTAGGAAAGGAATGAGAGGACCTACGCACGATCAGAGCTCTGACCAAGTCAAGTATGGAATGGGCAGCACAGTGTTACCTTGCCTCCTTCGGCGTGCACTTCTTCAATGGTCTTGATGGCGTACAAGTGGTCGATGCCAGGGTCAACTCCAATCTCGTTGAAAACGGTGATGCCGGCTTCCTTGGCGCTGCGGGCGATGATATGAGCACCCTGATGTAAAGAAAAGACAATCTGGATGTCGAATCACTTACGCGGCATCATACTCCTGCATAGCAGGGGACACGTAGCTGGTGGTTACGACGTGTTTCTTCTGCTTGACGGCAGCCGCGATAACGCGGGCATGATGAGTGTAGGGGATCAGACTAGTAGTGACACACGGTGAGTTTCAAGAAGCAGAGCTATTCGTCGACGTCTCCGCTGGTTACCTGATGACCAGATCGTGCTTGCCAATCTCCGCCTCCAAAGCGGCATCGTTGTTCACGTCAAGAGCGACAGGCGTGACTCGCTTGTGGCCGTTGGCCAGCTTCTGTCCGCTTTCGACGCGACGACTCGCTACAAGTAACGGAGGGTGTGGGAGTGAGTATAACGCTGTCACAACGTCCGGAAAGACCGGGTTGCCATACCGATGGTGACAAGGTTCTCCTCACGACGCAAGAGGTACCTCAAGCACGGACCCGCAACAAATCCAGTGCCGAGAAGAAGGATTTTCCTAAGATGGGGTAGGTATGGCAGTGTCAGTAGCAGGAGAGGGAGGGTTTGAGTTTCAGTGCAAGGGGAGGCAGCATACTTTTGTTGTTCAGACATTGTTTGACAAAGTAGTGGAGTGACTGGGAAGTAAAGCAGCGTGAGAACATGCAACGACGACGACGACGACGAAGCGCAGCCAAACAAACCGTACAGGTGAAGCTGCAAACAACACACAGAGACAACAAAAGAAAGATGGTGCGAAAGGAAGGAAGGGAGGGAGGAGAGTGTATTTACAGCAGCAATGAGGGCATGCTAGAAGTGGCATCAGACGCGTGCGCCACACCTGTGAGAAAGAGATGCGATGCTGGATGTGGGATGCGAGTGGATACGTTCAACTGATGAAATGATCGAATTGGATTTGGAATTGGAATTGGAATGCGATGCGATGGGATGATGAGGGACCTCTCTGTTCTCGTCTGCGAGTCCATCATCAAATGGCCCACTCCTCATCTCTTGAGGTGACGGGAAAGCCCAGAGTCTCCCCCAGGTAGCGGAGGCTTGGAGAAAGAAGGTCAACATGCGCACCATGCGTGTTAATACATGACACTGGTGCTGGACCCCTGCGATCAGTTTACCTCTTTGTGTCGTTAACCTCGGCAAGCATCTCAAGTTCATTTATCATTTGCATGTGCTTTTCGACACCTTTGTGGGGCAACGCGTCTCACTCTCGGCACTCTCGGGTGACACGCCGCGCGCGCCTTTCTCATTGGGACTTGCATTCCGTCTCCGAGATGTACTGTCACCTCCGCGCCTCCACAATATGGACCATCGGACCGGCAAACATACTTTCTCAAAGGAGCTTCATGTATATAGATAGCACGAGCTGCATTTACCATCGGCCTGTTGTACTCCCTCGGCACACAACACACGCATTCCACGTAAATGTCAGCTCAAACCCCTGTTGACGGGGAGATCCTCAATGCCGAGGCCACTGAGCAGTTCAACCCTCAACACCTCCAACCCACCAGCTTCTTGCGTATCTTCAAGCTCAATCCTGGCGTCACAGCTCTCAACTTTGTGGTTTACCTCATTGCAGCCTCTCTCGGCATCTGCTTCTTCGTCTTCATAAACTCCTCTCAAGGATTTGTGCTCGGTGACATTATCCGCATTCCGTCATCCGAACTCGGCACAGCGTCCGGGTCGCTTACTTTCTACGACGAGTTGGTGTCGATCGTTGCAGTTTATCTATGGGGTCTCGCATCAGACCGGATTGGGCGACGCGCCGTTTATGGAGCTGGATTCTTCATCATGGCCATCGGACTGGCCGGGTTCACATTCCCGACGAAACTGTATCCAGATTTGCTCCTTGTCCGGCTGGTGTTTGCGGTTGGAGGAGCAGCGAGTAGCGCGATGATGACGGGCGTGTTGGCGGACTATGCTGCGGAAGAAAGTCGCGGGAAGGTGTCAGGGTTGGTTGGGCTTGTATCCGGCTGCGGGGCGCTCATTGCTCTGTTCGTGCTGCTACGTCTACCGCCCAAATTTGGAGATGGTACCCACGGTCTTCGCGTGACATTCTTTATCACGGCCGGGATTTCCGTTGCGGCAGCGGTCCTAATGTGGACGGCGCTGCAGAGCAGCAGTAGGATGCGGCTGGCCGTTTCTCACTCCACGACATCGTCTCCACCACTTTCACCAATATCTGTGGCGGACTCGGCGGAACGCAATCTCAGCACTGAAGCGATTTTGACACCTCAGCCTGCTCCTGCTTCGCTCCACCACCGGAAACCTCTTAAAACTATTGCGAAGGAGGGCATCCTTGCGGGGCGCGATCTGAGAATATTGTTGGTAAGAGACAGGATGTCCACACGCAAGAAGCCGTCTGTCTTTTGAACTGCTCTGATGGTTGGTTGGCTGTAGGGATATGCAGGTAGCTTTTTAGCTAGAGGCGATACCATTATCCTGACGCTATTCCTACCACTGTGAGTATAATAGCATGCAATTCTACTCCCAGCAGTCCCGAGCAGTCGGAAACGCATAACCTGACAATGTACTTCCGCAAATCTAGATGGGTCTACAAATACTATTTGGATTCTGGTATGCTCCCACTTTATGTATCATGCCATGCATGAGTGCAGAGACTGATCGCTTCGCTACTTCAGGCATGTGCACTGCTCCCGGCGGACCAGAAGACCCAGACATCAAAACCCACTGTCGCGAAGCCTATCTCAAAGCGTCTGTTCTCTCCGGCATAGCGCAGACATTTGCTCTCATTGGTGCCCCAATATTTGGTAAGACATCTTCCTTTCCCCGCTCATGTGTCGTGAACGTCATCGCTCATGATTCGTGATTCCGCCGCAACAGGATACCTGACCGACCGCTTCTACCGGCCCTTCCCAATCCTTTTTGCCGGGCTCCTTGGTGTCCTGAGCTACGCCCTCGTGCACATGCAATCCGTGCCCACACAGCGCATCATGTTTCTCTACATGATTCTCATTGGATTTGCGGAAATCGGCCTTGTTGTGGGCTCACTCGCCCTTGTCACCGCAACGTATGTCCCCGCACACATCCGCGGCAGCGTCGCGGGCATGTCGTCCCTCTTTGGCGCTGCGGGGATCTTGCTCAACACACGACTGGGCGGCGCGTTGTTTGACAGCTGGGTCTCAACGGCGCCATTCTTCATCATGGCGATCCTGCATGTCGTGTTTTGTCTTGTGGCTGTCGCGGTTGTGGCTGTGGATTATCGGAATGCGAGACGGATGCTGGGGGCGACTACCACGGATGAACCTAGAGAGGTATCCGCATTGGGACCGCCGGCTGGGACACCCGTCCTCACGGTCATGCGGCGGGAGTTTGAGAAGCGGGCTGTCAAATTTTGATCATCCGAAATCACATCATCTTCCACGTTCATCCAGAACCGGCCGCGTTTTGCAAATTGCTTGACAAGTTTTATCCCAACAACTAACTATTGTCTAGGAATCTTCAGGTTATGAGATCTGGCACCTTTCGGGTGCACAATCTGGTTCTATGGTGTAGCGGTTAGCACTCAAGACTCTGAATCTTGCGACCCGAGTTCGATTCTCGGTAGGACCTTTTTCTTTTGCCGATTTCAGGCCAGCGGACTGGGGACATGCATTCAGAGAGGCGGTTGCGCATCTTTACACCTCTTTTTTGCGAGTTTGAGCGCATGAGCACTGTGAAGCATTTCGTCAAAGTGTGAAAATAGTCTTGTGGTGTAAAGTGTGCAGAGCAGGGAGCGTGGCTGTGTTGCTTTTGAGGCTTTACCGGTGGACAAGGTTTGAAAGGGTTGCACGTCACGGGCGCGGTTGATCAGGAAGGTCAAGGCGCTTGGCACACTCACACGCCTCATACATAAAGTGACATGACAGGCATCTCACCCCATCTCACACTTCAGTCACTCATTCTCACGTCCTCACTCTCCTCTCAACCCTTACACATCTCCCTTCACCATTCCTAACATCACCAAATTCATGGGTCTTGCAAGCAAGCTTAGCGCAGTGGCAGGAGCGCTACCCCAGCAAGGCGGTAGCGGCGGTTACGGCGCCCCGCAACAGCAACAGTACGGCGCCCCACAACAGCAGCAGCACTACGGCTCGCAACCCTCGGCTCCGTATGGACAGCAGCCTGCCCCTACCGCAGGCGGATACAATGCGCCCCAGCAAGCCGGTCAGCAGCCGTATGGCCAGTCCCCGTATGGTGCGAGTGCCCCGCCCGGTGGACCTGGTGGTCCGGGCGGTCCGGGCGGTCCCGGCGGGTTTGCGCCTCCTGCAGGATTTGCGGGTGGCTTTGCTCCCCCCGGTGCGTCTCCCTATGGACAGCAGGTGAGTTTGGGGAGAATTGCGAATGGATTGGGAAGTTGGAGATTTGACGTGACGTTTTGACACAGCAACGACCCGGTCAGCCTTACGGTCAGCCACCGCAAGGCGGCGCGCCCTACGGAGCTCCCCAAGGTCAATACGGCCAACAGCAACCCGGTCAGTATGGTCAGTCGCAGCAACCCGGACAGTACGGCAGCCAGCCACCTTATGGGGCTGCCCCCAACGCGCCTTACGGCTCGCAGCCACCCGCCGGTCAATACGGTCAGCAGCAGCCCGGCCAATACGGTGCTCCGCCTCCCGGAGGCCAATACGGTGCCCCACAAGGCCAATACGGCGCACCTCAGCAGGGCTACGGAGCTCCACCGCAGGGCGGCGCCGGCGACATGGGCGTGTCGCGCAATGCGCCAAGTCCTCAAGCGGCCCAGCGTGCCTTCCCGGTGATCCAGGCCAAACTCCAATACATTGCGCAGACCAACCGGCTTGAGAACTTTTACCCGCCTCAAGCGCTCCAGCAGATTGCGGACCGGGTGTCCAAGACGGTTGATTTTGACGCCCTCGCGTTCCAGTGGAAGCTGCAAACGGTGGAACTTGCGTACGATCTTGCCAGTCTGGCTCTCTACGATATCGTCATCTACGCGGATGACTCGGGATCTATGATGGCGGCTGAGAATGGCGAGCGCGTCGATGATCTCAACCTCATTGTCTCCAAGGTGGCGGAAATCTCGTCGCTGTTTGACCAGGACGGAATCGTAAGTCTACGACATCTCGTACGGCGTAGTCTGGTTTGATGACGCGGTTTCTTAACCTCTTTCCTCTTCGTTCTTCCAGGCGGTTCGTTTCATGAACTCGGATCAGCAAGGCAACAACCTCAAGTCCGAGCAGCAAGCGTCTCAACTCGTGCGCTCCATAAAGTACATGGGCACCACCCCGCTCGGCACCAAGCTCGACGCCAAAGTCCTGCAGCCGCTCGTCCTCGCCGCGGCGCGGTCCAGCAACATGGCCAAACCCATTCTCATCATTGTCATTACAGACGGCGAGCCCGTGGGCGAGTCGCGTTCGCACATCAATACTGTGATTTCGGCCACCAAACAAGCCCTGTCGTCCACCCGCTACGGCCCTTCTGCTGTCGCGTTCCAGTTTGCCCAGGTTGGAAAGGACACGGGCGCACAAAAGTTTCTCGCGGATCTGGACCATGACCCCGTTATTGGCAAACTCATTGATTGCACGTCGTATTATGAGCTGGAACAGATGGAGATGCAGCGGAAGGGCGTGGATCTCACCCCGGGAATGTGGCTGGTGAAACTCATGGTGGGCGCTGTCGACCATACGTATGATGAGAATGATTAGGTGGGCCTTTTGTGCTTGGATGGAAAATCTGTATCCCGTTACGCATCTTGGTGATTCCACGTTTTTGACCTACACCCCTCCCCCCGGCCGTTTCCACGCGCTATCTGATCTTGTTGATGGAATGTACGTATGCATTAGTTTTGAGCGCTTATAATCAACGCGTTATGCTTGCATTTGTCATTGGGTCCGTTGATCTTCAGTGGTTGATGACGGACACGGGGGACATTGGAGCATTTGATGCCTCTGAGAGGCATCCTTGCATGCATACAAGATCATGCATTGGTGTTGTTGACTGGGTCTTACACCCTTGTGTCTACTTCAGACTGGATATAATGACCAGTTGAGTTGAAGTTATCAATGTAGGGACAAGAACGATAAAAAATTTCTTTTTTTCAAACATTTTCTTCAGCCAATAAACAGTTTTGTTTGAGCTTCTTGTTCGCTCTTCTTGACGTCAATTGTTTGATGCTGCGCTTGCACGTGCTGTGTTTGGTGATCCAAGCGCCGAAACAAGCGCTGCCCTGACTTGTCTTTTTCATTGCCTCCACGGTACAGTGGAACCCCATTTGGAGCCTGTGTCGTTCGCGATCAGGTTTAAATGATTCTTCCTAAACGCCAGCATGTGTAATGTGTGGAACTCTGTAGGGGGGGGGGGGTTCCTTTGCTGCAAGCCGTTCAAGTCGAGAATACCGTAACAGAGTTCTCGCTGCATGACTCGTGAGCGCTTATGAAACTGCTTCTTAGAAGTAAAGCCGCAGTTTTCGTGATGGGGCGGGAATGGTACCCATTTTTTTGGCCGGGCGACAGTAGGTAACCTCGTCCTCCTGTACAGCTCACTTGTCGAGCATCGCCGTACATTTTGCAGGTGAACAAAAGACAAGTTTCAATCTAACCCCCTCCAGGTATATTTTGGGTGTTGAGAGCAATACTGGGTCCGGTTATGATCAACGAAATGAATCAGTTTTCACAGTTCCTGCCGCAACCATTCATATTTTGGTGACTTCCTTCCTCGCGAGTTTCGAGGGGGGCAAATCTATGGCCGTGAATCGATGATCGCGAAAAACACTCACTGGGCGGAGCGGGGTGGCGGTGGAGGAAGGGGATCATGCTGTCTTCTCGCATGATAACCTTCATTTCCCGTACAGTACTTCCCATTCCAATTCACAAATTTCCATTTCGGGATAGCGATAAGGCATCTGACTGTCTACGAAACGTTGGGGGTATCGACCCATTCCAGCTCTTGGCCCTTGATTCCCGTCTTTCTCCGCGAGATACGTTGAACGCTTGAAGATCTAGAAGAGTGCCACAGTATCGACGGTAGGTGTCCCTTTGATTGTGTTGCGGGGGGGTGTTTCCTACGGAAGCAGACGAGGTGCAAATGCACAAAGGTAGGCAATGATGAATGAGGCTACATTCACTATGTTCAAGTCTTTTCAGTTGAGGCCAGACACGACGCGTTACATTCGTGTGGCCGTGTGTGTTCATTTTACGCGCCACATGTGGGTCCGGCCGCTGGTGAGATATCGATACAGGAACCCGGGCTACATCGGCGACATTGGCAACATTCTCCACAACTTCCGCAGCAACCAGAGCCTTATCTCCTTGAAAAGAGCGAGTGGCTGCGCGACGATGATAGGGACTGTTGTGGCGAAAGGTACAGCCTGTGACATGATTTCCTGAGATGCTTAACAGCATGCCAAAAAATATCCTAGACGTGTCCGCGCTGCGTTTGCCAGACTTTGGCGCACCAGGCGGGGCATCATCCAATTGCACCGGGTGAGCCGGGTGAACAGGGCGGCGGAGGGAAGTGGTGGCGGCATGTGAACCCTAGTGTGTACTTATGCACGGCAACCGGTCCAGCCACCACAGGAAGCAGAATCAAAGTTCAAACCCACTGCTGTTGCCAGACGCTTTGAACGAGGGTGGGACACGTGTCGTATAGGAGACGGCCGGGCTTGTTTTGCCCCCGACATTGACACGGCACGTAGATTTCTCGTTCAACCCGCTTGAGAATGTCCTCTTGATACAGTATGAAGATTCGCCACTTTGGCGGTCGACCAGCACATCGATGCAATGTCACATCAATGGGGGTAATGAATACAACCTCATCGTCAAGATCCGACCCCTTATATACGATCGCTTAACTAGGACAAGTCGGCACTGAGACCCCACAACGACCACTATCAGACACATCTCAAGCGTGACCCATTGGAAGCATGCTGGAGAGCCACCATCTACGACTTCTCACTGACGGATCTGGATCTGAAAGGTACTGTTAGTTAGTCGCTCTGCTCACCTTGGGCACGTTTCCATCCATTTCTGCTCTTCTCACCGCGTCTCTCACACCTACAGTGTGCCCATCCTTGCGGTTAACCCTCGCAGTCATCAAGGAGTCGCCAATTACCAGTCTTACCGAGTCGCCAAGCACGCGCATGCTTTACTAGTATCGTCTCTTACCAGCTTGAGGACGACATCAACCATCAACGAAAGCTCTACATCTTCGATCTCGACAACACGCTGTGTCTATGGCGACTTTGCCCGAGTCGTCGCCTCGTGTATGAAACCAGGCTGCGGCGGGTTTCTGTCCCGGCTCCAGGCAGCGGGGTCATGTGTTGGCCGTAGCCTTCCTACAACCAGCACGGCGCGCACAGTGCTGGACTCTATGCAGATGCTCTCGCTGTTTCAACAACGTCATATGCGACACCCAGGCTTTCGAAGCAAGACATGGTTTGCGCGATATGCGATCGCTTTCCTGAGATACCCACAAGAGACATCATATTCTACGACTACGACTACGACAGCGTCCTTTCAATCCGCGCTTTAGGCATCATGGCTATTAGCGTAGCGCCATTGACTGGGGTACCCTTCCCGGACTAGGCTAGGGGTGGTATATACCTACCCATACGT